TATAGGATAAATTAAGTAAAATTATTAACTAAATAATTAATATAGATCAGATTCACTGGCATAATTGAAGGGTAAAAGGTAAGACATTAAAATCGCAATCAGTGTGGTGAGAATGACTATGAAATTTGACCCAAAAAAATACTCATGTGATAATGATGTTTAATTATGTTTTATTTGACAATTATGAATATGATTTATTTCCACACCTACAAATATGAATCTCTAATTTACATTTTGTTTATGACTCGGCCTTTCTTTTCTCTGATATTTAACGGTCGGATTGCTTCGACAAGAATTGAGCTTTCTTACTAGAAAATATCGATGTATGGCTTTGTAATTATATTATTGATTAGACCCCAAAATAGGTTAACCAAACAACAAACAGTATCATCAATATATAATAATATCTGAGTTGAGAATCATTTAGGCCACGGTTGGTTTGCCGTTTTTGGGCCATTTTCCGTTTTTTGTTTTCGAAAACACATTTTCGAAAACAAGTTAAAATTTATAATTGAAAATGCAAAACGATTTTTTATCGTTTTTAGCGTTTTAGTTATAGATGTCGAAAACGCTCAAAACGTGAAAAACGAACCGTTTTCAAGGAAAACTAAAAATCCTTTTGAAAATGAAAATGCAAACCAACCGCTACCTTAACATTTTCACTAATATTTGATAATTCTTCATCTGTCTCTCAATTGACATGAACTTTAATGAACTCTTTATTTGATACTTATATATGTGTGCGATACCATTCTAGAATATGGACAGGTTCGCAAAAGAATTATTCTTCTATCAAATTTTTTTTATCAGTAGTACTTTATATTACAAAGTTTAAAGATGATTTAATCAATAAAGCTGATAAGCGTACAAATGTTTGAGCCCCATTTCTTGGGAAAGAATGCATTTTGAATGGTAAATTAATGAAGAATGTGTGATTAAAAATTAATAAAAAATTTGAGTTTGGGTGTAATATTATTTTATTGAAGAATGTGTGGTTGAAAAATGATTTTTGAAAAAATGAGTTTTAGTATAATGGAGCTCAAACAAGGCCCTAGACTATTAAATGAGATTAATTGTAGTCTATTTTGATGAATTATGATTTAATTATGTATATATTTTGTTTGTTAGGTAAAACTCGATGCATTGATAAAATTGGACAATAGGAACGAAAATGGCAAAAATGAAGAAATCCAAACAAAGTTTAGGAGATCAAATTGTAAGTTTTCAATAGTTGTTTCGGACCACAAAATAACTATTGAAGATTATATGAGTTCAATTGGATGCAATTGAAATATGAAGGATCAATAGCATACCAAGAAAGGACTTGAAATGCATATTAGATGAAAAGCAATGACCAAAACGCAATATATTGAAAAGGTTATTTCTCAGCACATGGGCCACATGCCAGCGAGTGCGCTAGCCTCCAAGTTACTATACTTAATTATATGAAATCTATTCATCATTATTCGTATAACTTATATGAAATCATGCTAGGCTAAGTCATCACTTATACTGAATGAAGATTAACCCTTTTTCAATTATTTATTTTAATTCTTGATAAGTATTATAGTTAATTTTTGCGTCTCTTGATGAGTCTTGCATTCTCATTGCATTAATTAACAATTTAGTCACCAAATAAATAATTAATGATTTGTTGTAGTGTTGGAAATTTCACAATTAAGTTTAAAACGTTACAAGATTAACACAGAAACAATAAATGTTAGTAATAACTAATAACATATATTGCGTGGTAGTTATTTAGATGATTGTGAGATTGAATTCGTTCTACGCATTCGAATTTGGACTAAGAATAGGATTGGTCGTGTCTAGAATATAGTTAATTTATCTTACAAAAGAAAGTTAAATATCTTAGAATTATTGATTGTCAAAATGCATTAATAAAATTAAATATTCTCATAGGTTAATTTAGGATAATTACAAATCACAACTCTCTTTTGTTACACACTTTAAATCTGAATTGACATCAATACACTTGATTGAATTTTATTCATCATAGGACGATACACGTTACTACACATATTACTTATCAATGATCACATGCGCTTGTGCGTTTCGCTTGATCAAGTTTTT